TATCTATCTATCTATCTATCTATCTATCTATCTATCTATCTATCTATCTATCTATCTAGTCATGTTTCTGTAATGTATATTAGAGGAGGAGACTCTCTGAAAGCTATATACAATAAAATTTCAGTTAGTGTACATTCAAAATGTTAATAAAGTTATTCTAAGCCTCTAATCTAAGTAAGTTTTCTAAGAGTGGCAAAAGGGGTGTCTCTGTTTGCAGGCTGTGCATCCAGTTTATCATTTCCATTTTTACTGCCTTTGAAATCTGGCCAGCTGTTGGCTTTACGGGTTTCTTCCTGGTATTCTATTAATACCTCACCTGACAAAGAATTTTTAGAGAAACCTAAAAGTGTGCACATTATTTTTAGTGCATGCTGCTATGTGATCAATGATTAAATTTTCTCCCCAGTTCCTCCCTTTGTAGGTTGGGAGTTGAAATGCAAGCCAAGAGTCAAACTGGTTACCCTCCATTTGAGAAGGTGAGAGCTTCCAATTTAAGCAACCTCCTTTTTATAGGCATTTGCCAAGAGGTTGACACATTTAAGGGATTTAACCCCCACCTGTACCCACAAATTAGCTCCTGCCCTAAGAAGTTATCAAAATATTTGACTTATCCGAGCAGCCAAATCCTTTGTTCAATTACAGACCACCAATGAAAGGTTGGGCTGTTGCTGACAGTTTAGCTCAAGGGAGAGAGAAGGGAAGGGTCATTAATCAAATCTATTTCTTGGCCAAGCCCCTAGCAGAAAGATGCTCCTGGAAGACTTGATCATAATTACCTTGAAAACGCTTCATCCAGTTCATCATTCATTGCCTTTGTTATAAAAAGAAAGGGGAGGGGAGAAATAAAACAATAAATCCAACGGAAATGAAAAATTATTCAAATATCACATCGGTTTAGCCAAGTGCTTTTTCTGTTGTATTTGCAATTCCTTCTTTAAAAGGGAGGGGAACTAGCCATAGGCTTAAAAAATTAGTAGATTTTTACTAGCTGGTTCTAAGGTCAGTAACCCAACCTTCTTTGTTAGATGACAAGAGGACAACACAACATCTAAGTGGTCATGCAGAAGGCATTTGACAAGGTAAATCTGAACCTCTCCAATCACCTTCTGTCCACTTGCTTGTTTTCTGTAGAAATTGAAGGGGTAGAGAAGCCGTCCGGTTAGTTCCAGCTCTCCTATGCACGGTAGCACTTTTGGGTCCAAAAGCTACAAAGCAACTTTAGGGAAACTTGCCAAAGGTCTTCAGGGAACTGATGACCTCTCTTCTGTACTGGACCAATCCAGGTAAATTGCAATTCAGTGTGAGATAAAACTGTCTATTAATATAAGCCAGTGGTTTTCAAATTTGCAACTTTAAGATGTGTAGACTTCATCTTCCAGAATTGAAGTTGAAGTCCACACTCCTTAAAGTGGCTAATGTTGAAAAAATACTGATATAAGCAGTTGGACAGTGAAACCAATTGCCCAGAGAAGTGTTTGGCTGCCCTTTGATTGATGGGTTCAAATGGAATCAGGGTAGCCATTTGTTTTGGATCCATCCTTGTTATACTTTCATTGACCGGGGGTTGGTCTTGATGACTTGAAGAACAGAATAGAATTCTTTATTGGCCAAGTGTTATTGGACACACAAGGAATTTGTCTTGGTGCAAATGCTCTCAGAACACATACAAGAAAAGATACATTCGTCAAGAGTCAAGAATCATAAGGTGCAACACTTAATGATAATCATAGGGTACAATAAACAATCAAATCATACTAGGAAACAGTCAATATAGATCATAAGGATACAAGCGACAAAGTTACAGTCATATAGCCACAAGTAGGAGGGGATGGGTGAATTCTAACTTGACTGATTCTAACAATACAAAAGAAAAGTAGCATGCTATTCGTCATTGAGGATCTTCAAATTTCTTGTAGGAGATGCTCTTAGCCCTGGATCATAGATTAGATTGCCTACAGAATAAATTCCCTCTCCTGTGGGCTTTTGATCCCTGGAGTCCACTCGTTAACAAATGTAGAGAAATTGAAAGCAGAAGCCATGCAGAGACTATAGGAGAGATGGAAGAACCTCGATTGCTCCAAGAATCCCCAAATCACAGCTACGAGCTTCCCTTCTCCTTAGTCGTGGTGATTGGTGCTCATGCAGTCGTTGTCTGTTTGCCACAAGGAGAAAGCCACCGTCTGTGGAGATTCTCAATCATCCAGGTCATGGTTGTCCCAAAGGTGCTTTTCAAAACACAACTGGACTTTCCCAGGTTTTGTTTTTGTTTTTTACTTGAAAATGTTTTGCTTCTCATCCAAGAAGCTTTTTCAAATCTGGCTGAAGAACTGAAGAAGCTTCTTGGGTGAGAAGCAAAACATTTTTTAAAAAAAATCTGAGAAAGTCCAATTGCAGTTTGAGAAGCACATTTGGAGCGAAAAAGCCACTAGTTCAGTATGCTTGTCATGATGTGCCATATCCTCTCTCTAGGAAGCTTGCGTGCAGGGGAATGGAACTGGTGGCTTTTCAGTTTAGTTTAGTTTAAAATTAAGCTAAACTAAACTAAAAAGCCACCGGTTCCACTCCCCTGCGCTTAAGTCCCCTAGAGAGGGGATATGACACATCATGACAAGCATACTGTACTTCTGAATGTATTCAATGTTTGATCCTGCCTTTTTCGGGCATGTAACAGCATAGATATGCAAACAAGCAAGGGAAAAAAATAATGCAAGTTACTTGGACTTGACCATTAATGGAGAAATAAGGCAATACTGAAGAATCAGATGGAAAAAAAAAGAGAAGAGACACTCTGTTAGGCAGCCTGCCAAATTTTGACTTACAATCCTTGACTTACAACCATTCAGTGAGTGACTGTCTAATAGGTTCCAGGTCACGATGACACTTTAAAAAGTGGCTTTTAAGAGGTGCTCGCATTTACGACTGTCGCAGCATCCCCACAATCGCGTGATCAAAATTCAGGCGTTTGGCAATTGGTCTGTATTTACAACAGTTGCAGCATCCTGTGGTCACGTGATCACCATTTCTGATCTCCCCAGCCAGCTTCCAACAAGCGAAGTCGATGGGGGAAGCCAGATTTGTTTAATGACTCGATGATTCACGTAACTGCAGTGACTTGCTTTGCAGGCAGGAAAGGTTGTAAAATCAGGCAAGACTCATTAATTGCCTTGCTTTGCGACAGAAATTCTGTTCCCAATGATGCTCGTAAGTCAAGGACCATCAGAATGCTAGCCTAGGCCGCTGTGGGTATGGGAAAGGATTGGTGGTTTCACAACTGTGCCACAGTGTGATGCCATAGCCTGATCTCTCCCTATACCTGAGTTGCTCTATTACTGGGAGGAAAAAAATAACCCTGAAAAAGGAAGCCATGTTCTTTTCTTTGATCAGAAAAGGTTGGTTTAAAAGAGGCAGGAAATGTGCCTCAACTTGATGGAGCAGCCTAGGGGAACAATAAAGCATACTGCAGATACACACACACACACACACACACACACACACACACACACACGGCAATTTGGCTCCCGTTCCAACAGCAGCAAAATGGAAAGGAAGATGCCCTGTAACTCAATAGCAAGTTATCGTACTGTTCCCATTTAGCTCTTGTGCAAAGCTGTGGCTTATTTTAATTAGAGTTTATTGAACACAGCACAGCTGATTTAAGACCGCACAACGCACTACGTCATAATCCCTCCCAGGCAAACCGCACTGAACAGTGATCAACAAACAACACACCGAGCCAAAAATCACACAAGCCACACTGGAGCGAAGCACATCACTTATTAAAAGAGATCTTTGCCGTGATCACCGAGGCCTTCGCGCACTTACCCACACGTTGTTGTTTTCTGACGAGGGGGACCCAAAGATTCGGCCATCCACATGCGCCGAATTTGTGTTCAAAGGAGTTCTGGTTACATTTTCTAAGTCTAGCAGGTTTTCTACAGTGGCTGCTTTGTGTGGAAAGGAAAAAAATAAATAAGGATGAGATAGAAGAATAAGAATGAAAAATAAGAATACGGGCAATCCTCAACTTATGACCACAATTGAGCCCAACATTTATATTTTTAAGTGAGAAACTTAAAAACTCACTTGAGTTTTGCCTCATTTTATGACCTTTCTTGCCACATGACTCTGAGACACTGCAACCATCATAAATGTGAGTCAGTTTTCAAGCATGCGAATGACTATGGGGATGCTACAATGGTCATAAGAGTGAAAAATGGTCATGTCACTTTTATCAATGCCAGTCACTAAATGAACTGTTGTAAGTCAAGGACTAGCTTTAAGAGGTAGTCTAGTGGCACAATGTTTAGAATGTATCACTCCAAGCTGATTCTGCTGTCTGCCAGCTGCCAGCAGTTCAAGTCTCACCGATTCAAAGTTGACTCATCCTTCCAAGGGGGATAAAATGTGGACCCAGATTGCTGGGGGCAATAGGCTGACTCTGTAAATCACTTAGAGATGTCTATAAAGCACTGTGAAGAGGTATATAAGTTTAAGTGCTGTTGCTATTGCAATTAACTCTGCCCAGTGCCAGGAATTCGATCCTGACTGATCCAATATTGAGCTATATGTTTGATTTGGATACCTTTACCTTTCCTGCAAGAGCATACATAAAGTGTTGAGCCACAGTGGCGCAGTGGTTAGAGTGCTGTACTGCAGGCCACTTTTGCTGACTATCGGCTGCCTGCAATTTGGCAGATCGAATCTCACCAGGCTCAAGGTTGACTCAGACGTCCCTCCTTCCGAAGTGGGTAAATGAGGACCCAGGTTGTTGGGGGCAACAGGCTAACTCTGTAAACTGCTTGGAGAGGGCTGGAAAGAACTGTGAAGCAGTATAGAAGTCTAAGTGCTATTGGTAATGATGAAGCTTAGGAGAGAAAAGGATTAGTTAAGGTTTTCTTTTCAGCCTCAGGTGGGCTGCAAACCTGCCTCAAAAGTTGCAGGATTTTCTTGAATTTTCCAGAAAGGAGGGCGGGGAAAAACATGGACCCACAACAATACCTGTCAATCTCCTAGCCTGAGCTAGGCCCTAACTTTTTGCAAGAGTCTGTAGAACTGCAGAAAAGCTTCTTCTGTGAGCTGATGAATGTGCACCGACAACCTTTTTGAACCCTTTCTTCTCCACTGATAGTTGCTCTTTCTTACAATTGATGATGGAGAAATAAAACAGACTTTCTCTCTTGCCCTATACCTGGCTCTCCTCCCTGAAGGATCTCAAGGGCCATAAACTAGTTCCAGAAACTTGTTTCGACTCTTTTCTATTTTCTTTGAAGAAGAAAACAAGTTCCTTCTCTATTTTCTGTTTAAAGTCTTTTTCTTTCAGTATCATATTATTTAAAGTCCATCTAGATCTCCTCTTGTGTCCTTTCCAAATAACTGACACTGGATTATGATCTGCCCAAGTGCTTGTTTCTATTTCAATCTGTCGTACATTAGTCAATAATTTTGCTGACATCCATATCATATCTGTTCTAAACCAGGATGTGTGCCTTTTGGAATAAAAAGTATATTGCTTATTTTCCTCATTTCTCTCTCTCCATGCATCTTTTAAATTAAATTCTTCTGTTATTCGAAGGAAGGATTTTGATAGTATCTTTCTTTCTTTGTTGTTTTCTGTGTTTTATAGTCCAACCAGTCATTAATTATTCCATTAAAATATCCCGTCATACAAATATTAACATAGTCCAATTCAATTATTTTTGTATGTAATTTTCTATAGAATTCTTCTTGTTTATCATTTGGGGCATAAATTGAAAATAAAAGTGTTTTAACGCTATTATCCATTATTTCCACCATCAAAATCTTTCCATCATCATCTGTGTAAATTAATTCTGCCAAAATTGTTTCTTTAATATATAATGCCACACCTCTTTTTTTAGATTGTGCCAGTGACATAAATAATTTCCCTAGTTTTCCTTGTTTTAGTATACATTCATGTTGTTTTTTAATATTTACCTCTTGTAAGCAGATTATATCAAATTTTAATTTTTCTAATTTATGAAATACTTTCCTTCTTTTAGTAGCCAAATTAAGTCCATTTATGTTAATCGTAATCAATTTTCTTTCATCCATGTTAAGCTTTATAAGAGAGTTTTATTACTCTAGTAGATCTCAATTCTCATCCTCTGGGTTCACCACCTATGGCACCTTCTTCTTTTTCTTTTTCAATTACTGATGTACACTCCTCTTGGAACTCAATTAGTGACTTTTCCTTTCTTTCTTCTTCCTCCTTTTCTCTAAAGTATTCTAAGTAGAATAGCTCAGCTTTTCCAACTGTGTCAATTCTGTGTCTTTGTTCCTGCCAAGTGAACAAGAGGCCTTCTGGCATCAGCCATCTGTAGTTTACTCCTCTTTTAAGTTACTCTTTAGTCAAGAATAAATATTCTCTTCTCATCTCTCTTACTCTTCTTGGTATCTGTTTCAGCACCACAATTTCATTACTTTATATTTTAGTGTTTTCTCTCTTGCCACCTGGAGTTTCTGTGTCTTAATAATCTTCTTAGTAAATCTAATGTGAACTTCTCTTGGTAATCTATTCCTTGTTGCATATCTTTTGTAGACACAAAACACTTCATCCATCCCATCCATCATCTTTTCTTTGGTTATTTCCAGTGCTTCTGCCAATATTTCTGCCATTATTTCAGCAAGATTTTCACCTTTTCCTTCTTCTATATTTTGAAATCTTAGATAAAATTCTGATTTGTCTATTTCCCATCCCAATGGTTCAAATCTGCCCTTCTCGACATCGCTCAAACGAATATCAATATCTCCAATTTTCTTATCTCTTTGTATATCTTCTTCAATTCTTTTGAATCTGTCATCATCATCTGTTGAATATTTTCCACTTTTTCATCTGTCTTTTCAATTTTTTCATCAATTTTTTGAATTCCTTGCATAATAATCTATAATGTCACTTCCTTCTCTTTCTCTTTTTCCTGTTGTAATATTGTCTGTATAGATCATTGTCCTCCAGATGGTGAGGGAGTTGGTATCGAAGAAGTTGGGGCTGTTGTCTTTCTACTCATCTTGTAATGCTTATCTGTAAAGAAAGAGAGAAAAAAGAGGGAAAAAAGAGGGGAAAAAAAACGAAGGCAAGCAATTGCCACTCCAAAGGAAAAAAAAATCTTCAGGCACTTGTATACCTTAATCCAATTAGTTGCAATGGTAGAGGTAAAAAGCAAAATATAAAAAAGGAAAAAAAGGAAAATATTCTATATGATCCTCTTAATAAACAAAAAGAAAACCAAAACAAAAGGTTTACATTCTAGTTCCTGGTTTAAAAAGTTAAAATCCAATTAAAGAGAAAAAAAGAACCCCATTAGTTGGGGGGGGTAGAATGGGAGGCAAAAGGTAAAAAGCCGTTCTAATATAAAACAAGCCTCTGCCGCCAAATATCCAAGGCTCTTTGATAAGTCAGCTCAGAATTTTTCAAGGCCACTTCAATCTTCTTTCTTTCAACTTCAACTCCGGACTCCAGCTATCTATTCGGAAATGAGCACCTGAATAAACAAACTGCCTTGCTCATCTGTATCTTTTCCAATACACAACTCAGAGTCCTTAATCGTAACACAAACGAGTGAAAGGAAAAAGAAACAACTTATCCAAGCCTCTGGGCGGCAGTGCTATTTACTTCCCTTCACTTTCACTTCCCCCTCCTCAATCTACAACCAGGAACTAAAAAAATAGTAAAGTCTTTTCCCTTTTTCTTTTTAAAAGGAGAAAAATAAATCTTGAGTCAAGCAGAAGAATCTTAGTCAAAAAGGGATTTTCAAAAGGGTTGTTTAAAAAGGGAGAAAGAAATACAAACAAAGATAAAAAGATTAGTCCAGCTTAAACAGCTTTGCCAAATTCAAAGTTGCAATAAAAAGGGAAAAAAGAAAAAAAAACCTTTCACTTTGACAATTAATCACACTGCTTAAATTCATTTCTCTTCACTTTTAGTCCACTTTAATTTTTTCAGGGTGTTCTCTCCAAGAAATAATAAGAAAAAGTTCATCTCACCAAACTGACACACTTTCTTTCCGATCTGTTCCGTTCCAGAGCTGTCCCAGCTTCAGCAGCTTGGAAGGCTGCCTCTCTGCCGCTGGCAAAAAGGGCTTTTCCTGGATCAACCAGGGACTCTGCGATGTCCCTGGGATCGACAGGATGTGCCCTCCTCAATCACCGTCTCTACGGGACGGTTTAGGTCCGGTGGGACCATTCTGCAATGGAGATATCAGTGGCGATCTTGGAGCTTCAAGATCGCACGCTGTACCGCTGAGACGCCAGCTCCACCCAAGATCATGGCTTGCTCTCTCTGACATTCTGTATCTCTTGACATTCTGACATTCTGTTGCT